GGGAGTGGCAAGAAATATTCAAAGTGATGAATGCCAAGAACCTACAACCAAGATTACTTTACCCAGCGAAGCTATCATTCAGAATTAAAGGTCAGATAAAGAGCTTCACAGATAAGGAAAAGCTAAAGGAGTTCATCACCACCAAACCAGTACTATATGAAATGCTGAAAGGTATTCTTTAAGAAGAGGAAGAAGAAGAAAAAGGTAAAGATAAAAATTATGAACAACAGAGTGACAACAAATACATATCTATCAACAAGTGAATCGAAAAATCAAATGAATAAAAAATCTGATGAACAGAATAAACTGGTGAATATAATAGAATCAGGGGCATAGAAAGGGAGTGGACTGACAATTCTCGGGGGGAAGGGAGTGTGGGGGGTGTGGGAAGAGACTGGACAAAAATCCAACACCTATGGATGAGGACAGTGGGGGGCGGGTAAGGGCATGGGGTGAGGTGGGAACCGGGTGGAGGGAAGCTATGGAGGGAAAAAAGAGGAACAACTGTAATAATCTGAACAATAAAAACTTATTTAAAAAAAAAAAAGAAAGAAAGAGTGTAGAGGCTAGCAGGTGATTCAGACAGCAAGTTAAGCTGTACTTGGTTTGGGAGTCCCCTAAATAGAATGCAGGTAAAGAAGCAACTTTAGGAGAAATGAGGGATGGTAAGTTGCCCATGGTGCTATGGGGACCTGGGACCTGTAGCTGGAAAGGAGGCCTTGAGCACTGGAGAGAGGCCAGGTTGGCAGTAGAATTACAGAAGACATTTGGAGAAGGTGATGGTTGAAATGTTTTTGCATCAGAGATCCACGTTTTAATTAAACTTTTAGGAACCAGTCTGTAAGCTGTTTCTAGATCTGGAAATTGGTTTTTAGAATTCCTCTTCTGAAAATATATGTAATTTTATTTCATTGTTTCCCATAGGAACTGAGAACAGAAGCAATTGCTAGACCTCTGGAAATAAACGAGACTGAAAGAGTGATGAGAATTGCAATAAAAGATATTTTGGTAAGATTACTTTGCTTTTATGTAATGTTTTTGTGCCTTGCCTTAAAAATATTGATTTCTGCCTTGGTCAGTGTGGCTCGGTGATAAAGATCAGCCCGTGCACTGAAGGGTTGTGGGTTTGATTTCTGGGTAAGGGTAGGTACCTGGGTTGCAGTTTTGATCTCCAGCCCCGGTTGGGAGGCAACCAATCGATGTGTCTCTGTCACATCAATGTTTTTCTCTCTCTCCCCCTCCTTCTCTTCCACTCTCTCTAAAAATCAATAGAAGAAATATCCTTGGGTGAGGATTAATTGATTTCTTGCCTCCATAAGACAGAACAAAAAGCTAGCCCTAGTTACAAAGAAGGATATGTTAGTAAGGAAATGAAAAATTTAGAGAACATGCTAGAATATTTAGCTCACTTACTTTTTCCCCCTTATTATAAATACAAACAACTCATGTTACTAAAAGTTTGTCAATTTTAATAGTTTAATAATTCTATTAAATTTTTCAATTATTTTAATAAATAATGCCCTATTTTATGGGCACTTCATACTTTATTTAACCAATTCCTCATTGCTGTGCCTTAAATAATTTCTAGATTTTCTTAATTCTATACAGTACTGTAATAAATAGCATGATCACTGATCAATTATTATTTACTCATTCATTTGGAAGGCAGATAATGGGGGGCATTCTAGACTCAGACTATTTTGGGTTTGAATCCCACCATGTGATCTTAGGGAAGTTATTTAACCTCTCTGTGCCTCACTTTCCTGATCTGTAAAATGGGGAGAATGGCCACATAGGGTCCTTTGAGCATTCATTATAACTGTGTGTCATACACAGTCTCTGGCATAAAGTAGGTATTTAGTCATTATTAGGATTCATTTTATTCAGTAGACACAGGCAGGGATAGGCATAAAATAATTTGCTGAGAGTTGTACAGCATTCTCAGATTGATAGGTTTTTATAAGACCCTGTTATAGCCCAGCTGGCGTGGCTCAGTGGTTGAGCGTTGACCTATGAACCAGGAGATCACGGTTCAATTCCTGGTCAAGGTATATGCCTGGGTTGTGGGCTCAATCCCCATTGTGGGATGTGGAGGAGGCAGCCAATCAATGATTCTTTCTCATCATTGATGTTTCTATCTCTCTCTCCCTCTCCCTTCCTCTCTGAAATCAATAAAAATGTATTTTTAAAAAAAAGACCCTGTTATAAAATGGTAATGCTGCCTGGGAGACCCAGCATGGGGTTCCAGAGCCTCAGCAGGGTAAGAAGGGGGACAAGAAGTGCAAGATCTTGTTGTGCCAGAAAGCAAGGAAGTGCTCCAAGAATGAAAGGGATCTGTCAAAAGGACACAGAAGCCAGCTTGAGAAGGCTTCCCCTGGCCAAACTAGGGACAGTTTAAGACCAAAATAAATAATAGTAATGGATTATAGACCATTGAGTGAAATGGGAGATGATGGGTTCTCACTGATATAAAAAAATAAGCGAATATATTGACAGCTAGTTTTTCACATAGTTTCAAAGTAGCTCTCCAGTCCTAGCCTGTTTGGTTCAGCGATTAGTTAGAACATTGGCCTGTGGATTGAAGGGTCATGGGTTCAATTCTAGTCAAGGGCACGTACCTTGGTTGCAGGTTCAGTCCTTGAACCTGGTCAAGGTGTGTGCAGGAGGCAACTGATGGATGTGTTTCTCTCACATTGATGTTTCCCTCTCTCTGTCTCTCCCCCTCCCACTCTAAATATCAATGGAAACTATATCCTCTGGTATTAACAAAAAACAACAAAACACAAAGTAGCTCTCCACAAAATACAATTAATTACAAAGGGGAAGAGTAACTTCACATGAGATTCCTGACAGACACCCCTTAAATCAAGTGATCAAAGTGAACATCACTAGTAGTGGGACAGTTCAAAATTATGCACACATGATATGATGTAGCCATATCTGTGCTATTCCTGCTAAAGATTCATAACCTGAAGCTAATCAGACAAAGACAAATTGGGGAAATCCTATAAATTATCTGGCTTGTACTCTTCAACAGTGAAAAAGTCATTCCAGACTGAATGAAGCTAATGAGACATGATAACTAAATGCTGTTAAGGACTTCATGGGGACAAACTTGGGTGGGTGTGAGGGTTAAATGGCAATAGTGCATCAGTGTTCATTTTCTGTTCTGATGATTGTATTGTGGTTCTGTAGGAGAAAGTCCTTATTCATAGGAATACACACTAAAGTAGCTAAAAGTGATGGGGCATCAGGGTCAGCAATTCACTCACCTCGGTACAGAAAGAACTGCTTTGTATTATACTCCAGCTGTTCATAAGTTCATGATTGTTTCTAAATTTAAAAAAATTAACATAATATTCTTGTGCTTGTCATTGTTCTGGCTGAATCAATTTAACATGGCATTTAGCACTACGTATATATCAAAATAGAATAGCCAGATGAGGGCACAGTCTATTACTTAGTGAACACCTTTTAAGATGTTATTTCAGCCCGCTGGTTGAGTATTGACCTATGAACCAGAAGGTCAAGGCTTGATTCCCAGTCAGGGCACATGCCCAGGTTGCCGACTTGATCCCCTGTAGGGGATGCTCTCTCATCATTGATACTTCTTTTTAAAAAATTTTTTATAGATTTTCTTTTTAACATATTTTTATTGATTTCAGAGACGAAGAGAAAGGGAGAGAGAGAAACATCAATGATGAGAGAATCATTGATCAGATGCCTCCTGCACACCCCACACTGGGGATGGAGCCCACACCCTGGCTATTGTAAATAATGCTGCAATGAACATATGGATGTATATGTCTTTTGTTTTTTGTTTGTTTGCCAAGATGGGGTTCTCCCCTCCCTCCCTAGGAGAGAGAGGGAGAGGGAGAGGAAAGAAAAAAAGAGAGAAACATCGATGTGAAAGAGACACATTGATTGGTTGTCTCCCTCACGTGCCCTGACTAGGGCCAGGGATCGAATCTACAACCGAGGTACATGTCCTTGACTAGAAATCGAACCCATGACTCTTTGGTACGCGGACCGGTGCTCTAACCACTGATCACACTGGCCAGGGCTATATATCTTTTATATTTACTAGTAGTGTTTTGGGGGGATAAATACCCAGAAGTGGAATTGCTGGGTCCTTTTTTTTTTATATCTTATAACCTTTGTTTTAAAGTCTATTTTGTTTGGCAAAAATATTGCTACTTCAGCTTTACTGATGATTGTTCTGCAGTTCAGTTGTAATTTTTTTTTTAAAGTTGAGGAGTTTATTAGGGAAATATCAGAGGCAAACACCCCACGTGACAGAAAGAAAAATCTGAAAATGTCCCTTCAAGCCAAGTGGAGACCTGGTCTTGACCTCCCCATAAGGACAAAAAACTGGTAGATTAGCAACAACATTCTCTGGCAGCCACCTTGCCAGGGCTGAGTCTCTCAGCCAGGACTGTCTGCTACCTCCCAACAAAGGTAGGGAGGAGAAAAGACTGTTATAGAGTCAATGCAGAGGCAATGAGAACTGTAAGGGAGGCAATGGCAGCTGTAAGGCAAGTCTGAGAGAGAGAGAGAAAGAGAGAGGTGAGACAGACTTTAACAAAGAGTCCCAGGCTTTTGGCTCTGAGTGCCTCAAATACATTGACAAGTAGTTTTACAAAATGTTACTGAAAAGGTAAAATGCCTAATGTTTTCAAGAGTTCCCCACATGCCATATCACACTGCCAGATGAACATGGCAGAGCCCAAAGGCCACATTTTTGAAGAAAGAAAAACAAGAATAAGCCCTGTTGCTCTTTAAGGAGAGAGAAGTGGAAGGCTGCTGGGACCTTTCCCACATAGGCCTGTGTTCTGTAAAGCAACTTCCTTCCTAGCAGCAGTCTGGCACAGTCCTAGGTGAGGGTCTCACCTTTTGTCACCCTTGCTTCAATATACTCTATTCTCCGTTCAAGGGCTGTCAATTTCTCATTTAGTGTTGCAAGTCTTGAACAACAAGACATATCGAATAAGTTGAGAAAGTCCGCGATTTTCTTGATGCTGCTGGTGATGATTTCAATGTACTCCTGATTCGCCCAGTCCTGGTGAATTTCCCGCTGCACAGGATCCTCTTGTCCCGCCATGGCCACCGCCTAAGGCCAGTTGTAATTTTTAAAAAAATATATTTTTATTGATTTCAGAGAGGAAGGGAGAGGAAGAGAGAGGAAGAGAGAGAGAGAAAAACAACAATGAGAAGAGAGAATCATTGATCGGCTGCCTCCTGCACACCCACACAGGGGATTGAGCCTGCAACCCAGGCATGTGCCTTTGACCAGAGTCGAACCCAGGACCCTTCAGTCCATAGGCTGATGCTCTATCCCAGCGTAGGTCAGCGGTTCTCAACCTGTGGGTCGCGACCCCTTTGGCGGTCGAACGACCCTTTCACAGGGGTCGCCTAAGACCATCCTGCATATCAGATATTTACATTACGATTCATAACAGTAGCAACATTACAGTTATGAAGTAGCAACAAAAATAATGTTATGGTTGGGTCACAACATGAGGAACTGTATTTAAAGGGCCAGAAGGTTGAGAACCACTGTTCTATCCACTGAACCAAATGGGCCAGGGCAGTTCAGTTGTAATTTTGATGTGGTTGTGGAAGGATTTGAGTACCTATGCTGCCATATTGACCTGAAGCTTTCTGCTGGTGTTTTTAAAGCACTTGCAGCAAATGGATGGTTAGTGATATTTTCATGAAAGCATCTAGGACATGGTTAGGTGTCTCAGACAAAAATAACTTAACCATAAATTCATTATCAGTGAAAGTAGTTGCTTCCAAATACACACTGTCTCTGTGAGTTGTGGAGAGGCCTGGTCTCCTTAGGTGATTTCTTTGTATACCCCATAGCATTTCAGAGACCTGCAGTGTACTAGTATGGTACACTGCACCTGTGCACAGTATTGGAGGGGAGAGCCCCATCTTGGCAGAGTCAGAGAGCCCGAACTTGGGGAGGCAGTTCCACACTTGGCTGGTTGTATTTCAGACATTATTCCTAATATGGCAGGTTGCTGTAATACATAGGCCCCAACTTGGCCAGCTTCCCAGACAACACAAGAGTGAAGACAAACTGCGTTTACCTGGACTACCACTGCTTCACATGAACTTGCTTTTACAAAAGGACAGGGAGGCCTATAGTTTTCATCAGTGATCTTCCATCCCCTTCACTTTCTTACTCAGCCCCCCTTGCCCAAGAGCCTCTGTCCCACTGCTGCCAAGGCACCCGCCCCGTGGCTGGTTTACACTGCGTGAGGCAGCCACTTTCTGTCTGACTTCACAGAGTGGTTTCTCTGTTTCTTGTAGTCTGTAGTCAAGGTTCAGTGGCCAGGGAGAGAAAAAAAGGAACTCTCTCAATCCCAGCAGGCAGGGACCAGCTAATGTTTCTTTTTGTCCCCTCCTAAATAAAGCCATACTTGTGTGTGCCTACAGGGATGGGCAAAAGTAGGTAAGAACTCTGTGCCAAAATGTGCTTGAATATAGCAAGTAGACTACAAGAATGTGTAAATACTGAAGGCCAGCAATTTGAGCACTTGCAAGATTGTACCTAAGTGCACTGTGCCATTGTGACATTGTTTTGAGTTAATAAAGCTATTGTAATAATCACAACCTGCATATCTTTTTCCATATGAACAACTGTAAACCTACTTTTGCCTACCCCTGTACATTCTAGAAGTCAGATATTTGTAACTATGGGAGTAGCCGGAACAAGATGTAAATAAAAACAGACTAACAATTCAGAATGATATGTAACCAGTCTATAAACAAGTGAGCAGGCCAGATCTCGGGCCTCTCTCCACTCTGCTTAGGACACTGTTCTTTCCATCTTTATTTGTTTCCCTGGGCAGAAACACCTTCTTCTCATGGGGGAAAAAAAAGAATAATAATGTTGTCTGGGCCTATGTGATGTTCCCCCTGGGAACAGTTGGTTACATAATGACTTGAGGGAAGGTTTGCTCTGTTTGCTTACTTTTGTTTTTGTTTAGCATGATATTTCTGTGCCTGAGGATTTGAGAAATTCCACTCTTCCAAACTTCCAGGTTGGAGGTCCTTATTTGGACATTGTCTCATTCATTTCCTATTAAATGTAGGCTCAGGTTCAGAAGACGAAAGACCTGCTCAATAACGTGGCCTCTGACGAAGCTAATTTAGAAGCCAAAATTGAAAAGAGGAAATTAGAACTGGAAAGAAACCGGAAGCGACTCCAGACTCTGCAGAGTGTCAGGTAGATATGAACACCCAAAGCATGAGTGGAAAGCTGTCTTTGAAAGTTCACACAGATTGAGAGAATGTATTGTCAGTGATATTAACCCTTCAGGCAGTGGAAGAAGCCTTGAATAAGGCTATCTCTACTGCAGAATGTACGTGTGTTGCTTGTTCAAACAAGCACACCACTAAACTCACTCTCTTTACTGCTTTCAGTATGTCTGGAAAACTGCTTAATTCTTGAACTTCCATTCAGTTTTTATAGCTTCTTGGAATTTAAGGCGAAGTAAGTAAATCCAGATGGTAAAAGTTATACAAGACTTTGTCTTCTAAGATCTGTGCCTTGCCATAAATTAGGTGGAAACAAGCATACTTTCATTTCTTGGTTTAAGTAGACTTAGACTTTTATTTCTTCATCAGTAATTCATCTTTCTTCTGACTTTCCCTCACTGTAAGTATGTTTTCCAGGGAATACAGATAGATGATAGTGGTGCAAAACACCTTCTAAGTCATTGGAGCCTTTCAAGCATGTTCCTCATATTTTTTGGAATCTCTCTTTCTCTCTCATTTCCTTCCCTCCTCCCTCTCATTTTGTACCCTCCTTCCCTTGCTGTTATTTTGGTTTTTGTTCCTTCTCCCATGTCACTACTCTTTCTCCCTTTTCAGTGTCCTTTTGTTTTTCTTTCTTTACTCCTTCCCCTGTTTAGCAGTACCTGCTCTAATGTGTCTTGCTCTTTTGAGATACTGGTGACTGGACCACAGTCTAGCTACTGTCCTAGATCTGTGGGGAGGCAGCACCTGGGGACAGCAGCCAGTTATTCAGGGAACATCAAAGGCTTCCTCCCAGCCCAGGGTCCTCGCCTGTTCTGCCTGTAGAATTAGGGCCACCAGATAGACTTGTCTCATTAAAAAGTTCTGCCTTTCAGGCGTCAATTCATTTTTGTTAAGCCTCAAATCCTTTTAATAGAAAGGTGTCTGTTTTGCTTTAGTACAAAAGGTTATAAAATTGTTTTTTAGTTTATCTGTTTATATTTTTAAAAGAACAGATTTTCCCATTAATAAGAAAAAAGTAATTTAGCAAACCAGTTGAAATAGCTTTTTATGTTATGGTTTTAGTTTGCAATTTTATATTGTTTAAAAACTTTAATTTATAGCAACCTTTATTTCCCTTTTTAGGTTAAATTTTGGCACAGCAAAGTATTATGCCCAACCTAGATAATGCATATATTTAATTTATTGATTTTGACATATGTGTATGGTATATGCTAATTTTTAAACTGTTTATTGAAATCTATGGCATATCAAGTGAGAAAAAAAACTGCAGAGCTTCATTTAAAAACTGCAGTTTTCAACTTCATCTCATCGCACAAGTAAACTAATTACTGAAATTCTGTGGCACACCAAAAATATATTTTTTGCCAGTCTGACAAAAAATAGGTATAATTTTGATTCATTCATACCAGATAGCTCTTATTGTGTTGGCTGTTGTCAATTTTCTTTTATTTGACAATCTAAGGGAAAAGAGGTCAGTGCCTCTGATTAAATAGTCAAGTATTGAATGTTTTAAAAATTCTTGTGGCACAACAGTGTTGAAATCGCTGATTTAAGGTAATAAACTTAATGTTTATTTAAAAATGTGTCAACATAAGAAAGATTCAAACCTGTGAAGAATTTTTGTGAGTTTATTTGAGCCAAAGTGTCCACAAATGCCAGGAAGTAGAATCTCAACAGATTGAGATAATGCTCCAGAGAAAGGCAGTTTTGCACCTTGTTTTATGCGTTACAATCAAAAGAGGAGACGTATGTGGGTGACATGAAGTCCATTGGTGATAGATTAGGGAGGCAAGAGAAAGGCAAAGTGGGAAAACCTCTGGGATCGGATAGAAAGTAAAATGATAGACACACACTTCTTTTACTTAGGTTGGTGCAGGATAGTTAACAGTCAACAATTAATTCAACAATGAGGGGATTTATGGTCTCCGCAGCGTGTACCTGTGCTTTGAAGGGTCTGGAAAAAGGAAAATTACTTTGACATTCCAACATGTTATCATAGATGCAAAAAGACAATAGACAGGCTCAGTTAAGGTAAAGATTAACCTTTGTCAGGGAAGATACTGGCCACCATAAATTGCTTTTAGTTGAAAAATTTTAATTTCAGACCCTGCTTTGTGGTTACTTTAGGAGTTTGCAAGGCTGCCACACAGGCCTTCCCTGAACTAATTAGGTTAGCATGTGGCCCTTTTTCATCCATCAGTGCATTCCTATATGTATCTACTAGAGGGCCGGTGCACAAATTCATGCATGGTTAGGGTCCCTCAGCCTGGCCGGCAATTGAGGCCCATCAGGGGGGCCGGGGCGGGGGAGGGACCTCGGGAAGTTGGCCAGCTGGTGGGGAAGGGGACGGGGCCGCGGGAAATTGGCTGTGGGAGCGCACTCACCATCAGGGGGCAGCTCCTGCATTGAGCGTCTGCCCCTTGGTGGTCAGTATGTGTCAAAACAACTGGTTGACTGGTCATTCTGGTTGTTTGGTTGTAAGGGTCGCTTAGGCTTTTATATATATAGATGTATAGAAAAGTCTGGAAGAATGTATATCAGATATTAAGTGCTTATACCTAGTGATGGGATTATGAGTAATTTTTACTTCATTTATACTTCCAGCATTATTTCAAGTTTTTATAAAAATCACATCTTTTTTTGGTGAAAAAAGTATGCACATTTTGGGGGGGATGGAAGAGAAAAGGAGAAATTAGCTTCAAGCTGTTGGAGAGCTGTGAAGCATTTCATCCAGTTAATTCAAGGCTTTTTAAAGAAAGCCATGACAGAATATGAAACTCTGAATACCAATTTCAAATTACTGTATATCAATTAATCTTTCACTTTTTATTGCATTTGATTATTCTAGGCCAGCCTTTATGGATGAATATGAGAAGATTGAGGAAGAATTGCAAAAGCAGTATGACATTTATCTGGAGAAATTTCGAAATCTAGCTTATCTGGAACAGCAACTCGAGGATCACCATAGGATGGAGCAAGAGAGGTTTGAGGTAAGTGCTTAGCCCATTCTTCTGCACAGACCATTCTTTCTGGTGTGTTACTTTGTACTTGTTGACAAATCAGTTTGTAAATATCATTGTGAAAAAAATGCCAGTGAATGTTTGATATTAGTTTATTAAACTAATCTTTGATATTAGTTTATCATCAGGGTTTGGTCAATTAGGACTACAGACAGGGCTAGCATGTGACCTGTGCAGTCACATAAGACAGCTCAGAAGAGCCTGTGCTTGCTTTAATGCTCTGCTGTTGCCATCTTGAATAAATTTTTTTAACAGCATTCTTTTTTTTTTTTTTTGGTTGATTTCAAAGAGGAAGGGAGAAGGAGAAAGAAATAGAAACATCAGTGATGAGAGAGAATCATTTATTGGCTGCCTACTGCGTGCCCCCTGTTGGGGATCGAGATTGCAACCCGGGCATGTGCCCTGACCGGGAATCAAACCGTGACCTCCTCTTTCATAGGTTGACGCTCAACTATTGAGCTGCACTGGCCAGGCTCCTTAATAATTTTTAAGTACATTTTATTTTGCACTGAGTTCCACAAATTATGTAACTTCTCTTACTTAAAGGTTTTCAAGCCCTGGTTAATTGAATCACCCGAACTAGCTTATCAAAGACTGCTTTATACAGAGAAATCACAGTTGATTATTCTATGTCAAGAACCTTTCATCCCAGTATTTAAGGCCATTTAGGAAGGAGTATTTCAAATCCTCCTTCAGCATGTATTAATAAATACGGAATTCAGAGCAAAGGAAGTTGGACCAAGTTGCTCTCCCTTTTTGAATATCCTTAGGGATATTTCTGTTTAACCCAAGAATAGTCATTTAGAATCTATGTTCATGGTAAAACTAGTCTACAATCTCCCTTTCTTACATTGTCCCTGACAGCTTTTGGTATAAAGGTTATGCTAATCTTCTTATAAACCTGGGTGTTTGAATTAGTTGGAACTATTTTGCTCTCCAGGAGGGCTGGCTGGGAGTAACTACCACATTCACATGGACATGTTTATCTTGACAAGGACCCTATTGCTGACATTACTGTATGGCAGAGGCAGGCAGTGGAGAGAGCCTGGAGTCCAGGATATTTTAAACATAGGTGCCTGGGAAAGAACAATAAAGGGCCATGAAAATAAACTGACCATTTTGTACTATCTCCTGGGGCCACCCCTGGGTTCAGAGAGTGTATTGAAGAACATGCTTCAGGCTGCATGTTCTTCCTTCAACAAGTACTTACCCTCTTTTTCTCCTATGGTCACATCTACTCTCTGTCCTTTTAATACCCGGCCCCTCAAAATATCTTATGCATGAAATGCAGTGCTTTTTTAAAAAACGTTGATAACATCAACAAAATTTTAAAGGCTAATTTCCTCTCCCATTATTGTTTTGACAATAATCAGGGCCACATTTGCGACCTAACTGAAATACTAGCTTGCTTTTAATCCTCTAGGAATTAAAGCCAGTATTTTATTTCTTTTCTCATCCTGATCAGTCCCACCATTTAGCGTCTTTCAGGGCTTTAATTGTACAGGACAGAAAAACAATAAAATTATGCTTTACTCTTCCTAGAGTAAGAGGCCTGTAGTGCCCATATATCTATGCAGGCACACATGATGGGTATTTTATTGTGTCATTCAGTTTTCTTCAGAGTTATTGAGGTGTAGTGGGAGGAGCACTGGTTTGGGGGCCAGTCAGGCCCATTTTAGGTCCATGCTCTATCCACCGAGCCAAACTGGCTAGGGCTCTTCCCCTTCTTTTGGTTTAGATTTTTTTCTGGTTCTGTATCACAAACTTAGCAGTATTTACTCGAATGGTAAAAAATAAAATGTCCAAAAAGGGTCATCTCTTCTGTATCTTGTTTTTTCTGTTCCATAGGAAGCCGAAAATACTCTCCGTCTGATGCAGAACAAGCTGAAGGAAGAAGAAAAGCGACTACTCAAGAGTGGAAGTAAGTCTATACTTTTTTTTTTAAATTCTGGAGTAGCATTTTTAGCATTGAAAAATTTATATGTATATTTTCTTTTCAAAAGGCAATTTTCTCATAACTTTTATATCTGGTACCATTTTATTTCAGTCAAGAGCTCAAGAGACTGGTTTAAATTATATAACATTTAAAGCACATTTGGTTTTTTATGCCAACTAAAATAGTGTTTTCCTCTTTCTAAACGATAGTTTAAATATATATAATATATATATAATTATAAAAGAAAAATTTGTCTTGGAGGTCTGTAGAGTTCCTTATTTTAGGGCAGATTGTTGGAGAACAAGCAACATAATGAAGTGTAAGTGAATAGATCACTTGCTTAACCCCCCATCCCACACACCCATCGTTAGCAGAGCTATCTGTAGAGAAATGGGAGTTACCACTATATAAGATCTAGATTCTGGGAAGGAATGTCCTCCATGACTGGTTAGCATAGTTCACCCATGAACTAACTTCACCAAGGTGTCAAGTCAGCCTTGGGAGCTATAGCAGCACATGATCTTCCTGCTGAATTGATGGCTTTGTCTCATAGTGTTACTTCTTGCCATTTTTTCATGATGATATATTTTATTCTCCCATGCTTGAAGATAGTATACCTGGGACATCAGGCATGCTCTTTCTCTCTGTCTTTTCTTGTCTCTCTCTTATTTTGCACTTGGTCTGTGCCTCTCCAGAATCTCAGGGAACTCTGGAAGGAGAATAGGAACTGCTGGGAAATCCTCTTGGGTAAGGTTAGGAAATTCCAAGGGCCTCTCTAGCCAAAGCAGCCCCTTGCCTTTATGGTTCCAGGTCAGCCAGGAGAGCCCGAAGCTGCCCTAAGTGATAAGACTGCATGGAATTTATCCCCTCCTGGGAGGCCTGGCACAGGTAAGAGCTCTGGTTGGTTGGCTGTATCCTGCTCTGCCCCAGGCCAGCACATTAAGACCTTTCTCACTTACCTTGGTTTGTTCTTCTGAACTCAGACTTTCATTTTGTGACCCATAGGTTTGGGATCTCTTGAAGGACAAAGATTCTTAGAAGCATGTGTGATTTAATTATTTCAGAAAAATTTCCAATTTAAACCAGCTTAATGAAGGATAGCACTTAATTAGCTTGGAGTGGACAAAGAAGTTAGGAAAATATTTATGAAGGACCATTCTCATTTCTACTCACCCTAAGGTTCTTTGCTTTCTTTGCATATGTGGGAACATTGCCCAGAGTATTGGGATCAGAAAAGAAATATATAAAGGCAGACTCTATGAATTTTTCTCCATCTGTGAAAGATTCCTCCAAATAGAAAAATACAATAGTACATAGACATGAAACAAGAGCAAGAATTAGTAAAATCTAAGAGCTGCAAGAGATCATCTTGTTCAGGCCACTCTTCACGGAGCTGATTCAACCTAGCAAAGCATTATTAAGTATCTGGGTGCTAAGGATACATGAATGGATAAAAGATAGGGATCCTTGCCCCAACTGATCTCACATGTTAGCAGTATGCTAGCAGTGTGCTAGCATGCTAGGAGACACGTAGTAAGCAAGCTGTATGGAGAAGGTGAAAAATGCCATGGGGGAAATGCAGAGCAGGGTACGAGGAATAGCGAAGGTGACAGAATTGCTGCTTTAAATAGGGAGTTAGGCCTCACTGAGGGGATGCTATTTCAGTAAAGACTAAATCAGCAGAGCACATGGAAGCTCTCTAGAAAAGACCCTTTTGGGTTTATTACTTCGTCTTGATTGGCCATTGGAGATTGATTCAACCTCAAGGCCCTCTCCTTTCCCCAGAAATCAGGACTCAAAGTTCCAGTTCTCTAATCACATGGTTGGCTCCTACTGGCAACCAGGTCCCACCGTTGGGTGAGATCCAAAAGTCACCTCATTTACTTAACAAGAGACACCATTGTTACTCTCATCATTTAAGAAAGTCATTGGGATTTGGGAGCTCTGTGCCAGGAACGGGGAGGAAGGCCAAATCTATATTTCTTATTATAAATCACAATATCACAGTAACCTAGCTGTGATTCCGTTTTTATGGTATAGTGGAAAGCAGATGTTTATACATTTAACACATACATGGTGGGGCAAAAGTAGGTTTACAGCTGTTCGTATGGGAAAAAAAGGAAAATAACACAATAATTAGTAAATAATAATATCAGAGTAACCTCTGTGTTTTGAGTACTCACAACTGTAAACCTTCTTTTGCCCTGCCCTGTATTTACTGCATGCCTACTGTGTGTCAGGCATTGTGCCAGCCCACAGTGATTGGTGAGGCTCTCAGGGAGCTCCAAGTCTAGAACTGTACTATCCACTACTTAGCCACCAGCTACATGTGGTCCTGAGCACTTGAAATGTGGCTAGTCCAAACTGAGGTGTGCTGTTTGTGGAGAATATGTAACCAGACAACCAATGGGTCTGCGCTGCCTGTCACTGCTTGAGCCAATTAAGCAGAGACAGAGTTGAATCATGTATGAGTGTTTATTCCATTCATGCTGGAAGTATGGGAAAGCAGCAAGTCATCCACAAAAATCTGCTCTGCAACCCCCCATAAGCCAGCTGCTTATATTGAACTAGAGGCCCGGTGCACAAAAATTTGGGCACTTGCGGGGGGGGGTCCCTCAGCCCGGCCTGTGCCCATTCACAGTCCAGGACCTCTTGGGGGATGTCCACCTGTCGACTTAGGCCCACTCCCCGGGGGATCAGGCCTAAGCTTGCAGTCAAACATCCTTCTGGCAGCCAGGGAGCCCTCGGGGGATGTCCGACTAAAGGCTTAGGCCCCCAAGGGATCAGGTCTAAACCGTTAGTTGGACATTCTTAGTGCTGCCACGGACGTGGGAGAGGCTCCTGCCACCACTACTGCACTGGCCAGCTTCTGGCTGAGTGGCACTCCCCATATGGAAGTGCACTGACCACCAGGGGGCAACTTCTGCATTGAGCGTCTGCCCCCTGGTGGCCAGTGCGCATCATAGCAACCAGTCATTCTGCTGTTCAGTCAGTGTGCATATTAGCCTTTTATTATTATTACTAGAGGCCCGGTGCACAAAAATTTGTGCACTCGGGGGGCAGGGGGAGGGGGGTCCCCCAGCCCGGCCTGTGCCCTCTCGCAGTCTGGGACCCCTCGGGAGATAACAACCTGCTGGCTTAGGCCTGCTCCCAGGTGGCAGAGGGCAGGCCCAATCCCTAAGTGCAGCCCCTGGTCAGGCTCAGAGCAGGGCC